AGGGAAAACCATCTTGTTTGGGGGAGAGAGCAAAGGATGGATTCAGAATGACCAAATTAAACCATTTTGGGGGGACCCCAAAAAACTCAGCAAGATTTTAGCAGACTCCCCAGCCACCCTCTTTCTGCCAGTTTTTCTGTGGCCTAAACACAACACACAATAAATATTTGAAAGACAAGTGTTTATTAGATTCACTGAACTTAAAAAACAAAACAAAACAAAACACCAAACTTTTAAAGAATTATGCATGAAATACATTTAAATATAACAGGTACATAAAATGTTATTGAAATATTGTGCTATATTACAAAAAAAAAAATAAAATATCCCACTGTCCAAACAGAACTGAGGATTTAAAAAAACTGGCTTTATGCAAGTTAATGTGCCGAGTCTGGTACATAAGTGGTCTGCACTTCTGTTCAGGTTTCATTTCTGCTGTACCAGTTTGTTCCTGAAAGAGAGATTAACTCTTGGTGGAACTTTTAAAACCTTTTCATTTTCTGTAAAAACATATCATGTCAGTATGAAGATTAGCAGATGTATTCCCTTTCCGTTATTAAGTGATTTAAAAGTTCCTATGGGAGTGCAATGAAGGAAAATAGACCTGTGGGTCAAGTGTTCATTGTTGTACACTATATTCAAGTCTCTTGGTCTCACTTACTGCTGTTCTGCATTGTACTATTGCTTCAGATTATGTATTCTAGCAAAACAAAATAAAATCTGTTGTCCTGAAGCTATTTCTTACAATGTGTCAGACTGTCCTGAACTATGATACAGGCTATTAACAACCAACCAACAAAAAAGGTTTATTATACACATTAAGGACAGTTGGTTAACAAAACTAGGATTCTCTTGTGTCACAGAGGCAGTTCTGGGAAACAGAAAATTGAGAATGGGGGAGAGGGGAGAGAACATCCCGCCACATAATTGGTTTTGCCCTACTAAATCCTCCCATCACTTTTAAAATCAGAAGTATGCACATTCTGCATCAATGGATTTAACTGTTCGTTTAATTAACAAGTGTAGAGGTTACTTTAGTTGATCAGGACTTTACTGTTGTTGGCAGCAAGACTGACCTTCACGAAATATGAGAATCCAGCAGGAGCGATCCAATCTCATACTGAGAACAGGTTAAAGAGTTGCAAAAATATCTGTGCCTTGAATGCTAAAAATATTCTTTTATTTGGAACCAGTGATACCAAGCAAGCTGCAACTATATTTGTCTCCATTACTTAAATATAGCTAACATGCTACACACAAAAGCTTTACATATTTATAACTGATCATACACGCTTCTAAAAATGGTCAGAAAATTATGCATACACAAAAGCAGCTACATATAAGTGAATAATTAAAAGTAGACTGAAGCATTATGAGATCTCTCTTTACAAGAGCACTCTCTGAAGGTAATATAATATATGGCTATATGCTGCTAAGTTATGTGCACAAGAGTCCATGTAACAAATAATCTCAGTTATTTGTAACTGCTGGCAAGTATTGTCAGTGTCTCCAAACTGTGGCTGTGACTTGCAAATCCAGCCTTGGGGAATGGATGGGAGGTTGGTTACTACCCTTTTTGCTATAGTTCTGATTGAACCTACATGTTCAAAGAATAAAAATATAACCAGATTTTTAGTAAGTCTACCTCAAGTCTTGACTTCTAAGAATGTATTAAAGAAAACTTGCATGCTACATGTGTGAAAAATCATTGTTTGGCCCCACACCAGATATCAAGTTTCTGCTTGAAATTCTATACCACCTAGCAGACTCCTTTTCAGTACTTAGGACTCAGACTCTTACACCAAACTTCATTGGTACTTCATTTGTACCTTCTTGTATTCAAAAGAGTTTAAGTTCAAATGAAAACATCTGCTTTGCTTCTGAACCATCAAGCCTAGCAAGTTTCATAATCCTCTTGAATGGGCTATTGCCATCTTCAACAGCAGAGAAAACCAGATGAGTCTGGTCCAAATTGGGCAAGCAGGAAAACTGAACCTTCGTCTTTCCTTAGCTTCATCACTAGAAAGATTTTTTTTCTTAAAGTATGTCAGTATATACATCTTCTTTTCTTAAGCTGAACATGATCAGATGCCAAACGTGAAATCTTTTTGTCAACTACACCTCAACAGCTGGAATAACGAGCATCTCAAAGATATCAGTTACAGCAGCCTTGACAACCAAACACATGCAATGCGTTTGGAATGGAATTTAATATGTAATACTTTTTCCACTTCCCATTTTGTTTCTTTCTGTTTATTTTCTCTGGAAGAAGAATTAAGTTTACAAGTCCATTGCCTCCACATTTGGGTCAAGAGCAATGAAGGTCCAATGCACGCCCCCCCCCAAAAATATACACACCATGTTGTAGAAGGGATCTTAAATAGCAGGAAACAGATTACTTCTTGTGTTCTTACAATTCACCAATTCAGAGGCAGGATGACATCAGTAATCATATAATATCCAACTCTGTTTCATGGAAGACATCCTAACAATCATCAATGTTCTCTGTTCAAGCAGAAAGGTCCAAAGCATCTTTGAACTTCTCCTCTATCCAAGTGAACACTTCCACCCCTCCCTGCCATCCCCTTTACCAACCTTTCCCTAAACCTGAAGAATGCTGAAAATCCCATAGTCTTGAATGGATGAAAACAGAAGGAGTCCATACCAATATCACCTGAGTAAAAGGTACCTGTGCACCATGCAGTGAGAATATTAAAGCAATTCTGGATGCTGGTTGTATTGGTGCAGGAGTCAAAAATAAAAATACACAGAACTCCCACTAGTCACTGATAGGAAAACACAGTGCTTAATCCTTGAAGTGTACAGCAGGCATGCCCTGCTGATGAACTATCTGATGGTATAGATGGAGAAAGTTCTAAAAGTTCTTTAGACATCTGGGGGAGTTGAGAAAACCTACCAAAAATAAATTCTCTAGTAGAGCCTATAGGCAATTAACATGCCCGTGACTGAAAAAGCTGATGGCACTCATGATACACGTAAAAGTAGCAGACTGTAGATTGCACTAAGATGCTATACTCAAATTTGGATGGAACATTCTTGATAGGCAAGTTGAGTTAAAGTACCAAATGTCCAGATTCAGGTAAACAGAGTGAAAGCTTATGGACATTAAAAACAGAAAGAAAATGCTTAATCTATAACTTCTTTCAAAGATGAGTGCTTTAACAAGTTATTACTTCATTCTGTTAGCAAAATATTAGACAAACTGAGTGATTTCCTAGGCGGGTGGAAAAGCTTGAAAAGAATGGCTATTCTGAAGTATATCCTTGATATCATTACCTGATGCTAGCAGATTTATTATTATTATTCATCACTGACATTCTTTGATTAGGCTGGAAGGCACTTCAGTATTTTCTCTCACATTAGCGAAAAGAAAAAACAAACAAAATCCACTTTTTTATTGGAGCATGTAAGCTGCAATCAAAAGTAGAAGCCTTAATCTTTTAATTCTTTTGTCCCCAAATGAAATGCCTTGGAAGAAAAAAAAATAAAAAGACTCAAGAACAGGGATCATTAATAAAACTCAACCCCTCTAAAAAAGTTACATTCTCTGTATACCAAAAGAAATCAACTGATTTTCTTCTATAAATTTAAAAATATTAACAGAATGGGACATAACTAACTATATATACTGAGTCCAAAGCAAAGTATGTTGAGTAAGTATTTACTTAAGAAATTACTGCATAAATAGCGTCGCCATTTTAGTTAATCACCATGCTGTTCCATTATTGCTACAGGTGAATGGAACTGCATTAAAAATGGTCTTTTACATATATGCTACTCTGTATACTGGTACAGTAAACAACTACTTAAAGTTATTATGTAACAGTAACAAGATACACACAAAACGGACAAATTACTAGAATATAGATTGAATGTTCAGAATCATAAAAAGCAATGAGTTATGTTTACAGAGGTGCAATACAATCATAAATGTAAATTAGAAGTTATCTCCACACAAACAACATTTCTAAATGCTTACAAAATAAACACATTTCAGCTTACTATAAGGACTAATAGTAAAAAAACACCAAGAATTTATCAATATGTAATAGGCGTAGTAGGAGAGAAATCTCTCTTTTCAAAAACTCTCTGATCAGATGCTTCTAACACATTTAGATTTTCACTTACAATGATGGCACAAGTTATTTACCATATTAGTGAACAACAGTTCCTGTGCAAGTATCACTGCTGTCAACGGACCTTATTCACGTGTGCTGGTATTACCTTTTTAAAAAGTCAGGCTTGGTGAACAGGGATCAAAGAAACCTAGGAAAGGGCAAAATTTACACAATTCCTGTCCCCTCCTCCACTTTTCTAAACTACTGAATTGTTTCCCATTTAGGACCATGGTGGTGCACATGCTCAGCAACTGATTCACTAATTACTAGTTCATTGATTCATCAGTTCTCTTTTTGAACTGGGCCAAACAATCAGCCTCCACAACATCTTGTAGCAATGAGTTCTACAAGTTAGTTAACAAACTGTGTGAAAAAGGACATACTCATTATCCAATAGCTTCACTTTATTATTTATGATCTCTCAAAGTACTAGAACTAGAGGATATAAATCCCCATTTGCTCTCTCTTTACTATTTAACATTTTGTAGATCTACATCATGTTCCCCATCAAGCTATTCCTTTCTACACTAAAAAAAAAAATCCTAGTCTATTTAGTCTTCCCTCATATGCATGTGTTTTTTTCCATTCTCCACAAAGCAAAGGTTTAAATTGCTAAATCTCATGGACCTGTTGCAGACCAGAGTTGTTCTTGCAGAGACCCCATGCTTTCTTTCCCCTGCTAGCTCCTGACGGCAGAATTCTTATAGGAAGGTTCCACAGTGAGGAAGAGTGTCATGAGAGTATTGATCTCCACCTTTTCGGTGATCACTGGGAACTGGTGCACAGGCAGTCCCTTCTACATGCAAATCCTCAGTTGTTACTTGACATTTAATGAACCCGTTCCTCAACTGTACAAAGCAGGAATGGGAGGAAGAACTTCAGCAAGAGTTAACTGAAAAGCACTGGGCCAAAATGTGGGGCAATACTTTGAAAGTCACTAATGCTCAAAAATTAAATTAGGGTACAAAACAGAAGTTGCATCTGTTGTGGGAGAAAGCCATTTTAAATCAGAGGACAAAGTGAACTTATTCAGACATCCATGTTCACTGCCCTAGGACAACCACTAAAAAGGTTCACAATCTAAGAAGTGCTAACTGTTTGTCCCAGAACATTACAAAGTAAGTCTGAACGGTTGTCTCAGGATTCTATCGACTCCATTGGAGGTAGAAAAGCAGCAGTGCATTCAGCTGCTCATTAAACCCTGATTGGAAGGGCAGTCTGTATGCATTAGTTTTGGGATTTTTCTGTTCCATGACAAAAAAGGCACAACTTGTGCCAGGACAAATGCAATATTTGTCCTTAGCCTTAGTGAAACATGCTATGTGAAAGTTTTCATGTGGCTAAATGGATGGGTTCTTTGGCAACTGTCTGGAGAAATAGCTCTTGTAGGGTTATACAAAAAACTTAACCATTCTGGGAGGAGAGGGGGAGAAATGATTGTCTGAAAAAGACCTAAACACAGTTAGCAAGTACATCTGACCTTTGCATAATGGGATACCCCAAAGCCCAGTTTATAAAAGCTATGGAGTTAGGCCTGTAGCCCCTGATTTTATCACCAGATAGTTCATATGATGGAATCTGGAGAGATAGAAGTACCCCTCAACTACTGGTCCCTATTCACTGAGCAGCTGAAAAGTACCTTATGTTAGTAAAAAAAATTAAACTAGGAACCATTAGATTTCATCTGTACAATTAAGGGAAGACACAAAATTGCTTCACAAATACAGGTATACACTCTGGATCATTAGTTTCTCAGTATGTATATTGTGCTGTATTTGTAGGACTTCGAATAAATTCTTAGCAACCTATGATTAAGGTCCATAGTGATAAGAAAGCAAGAGCTACTGCAATATTTTGCAGTAGCTCAGCAAACAAACTGACAAACAAATCTTGGTTCTCCATCGTCCACTAACAAAGAATATTTCTCAAGGATTTTAAACATTTTTTTCCTATAAAGCACTAAGTTAAAAAAAAAAAAAGTCCCAAGTAGTGGGTGATCCTGAAATATCATCATCATTTTGGTAAGGCAAGCAATTTGTTTTGTAAAAAGAATGTAGTACTTATCAAATCAGAATGATATGCACACTTTACAATTAAATAATTCTTTGAAGGTTTACACGATTAAATGGTTTCTATTAATAGATTGCAAATGCAGACATCATTCCTTACAGCCACAAATATTTGTGAAGGCACTTTCCCAACAACATATCCAGCATTGTAAATTATTGATTACACAGAAAGTGGTACAATCTAAAATTAATACAATATTTAACACTGCTGTCAGATCAAAATGCAGACCAGAAATGACTGCATTGTAGTTATTACATAGTTTTTTTCCTTTTAAGCATTAATTGGTTAAATTTATGCATGTTTAATCTCCTTCTCGAAGAGGCACCAGGAATTTATTTTCCCATGATCTTTAAGGAAAGGTCAGTTTCCTGTTTTAGTAATCTTTAAAAATCTTGTCTTGTATCAGGTCACTGGAATCTTTCACACAACCTTTACAGTTTAAAGCCCTTTTCATTATATCTGTGAATCGTCACACAGCCATGATATGATACTGGCCTGGGCATGGCTGCTACTCCTGTGATAATGCCTGTTGCAGGATCATAACAGAGAATGGTGTCTGTGGCTTCTCCATTTTCTCGTCTTCCACCAAGGATATAGATTTTGCCATTACATACAGACATGCCACAATTTTCCTGTTTACCAAATATACAAACAGATACAGGCCTATTAAAAAAATACTCAAAACAAACAAAAGACCAAAACACAAACCTGAAGCTCTAGTCAAATTTGGTACAGCATTTTGACTACCATACAAGGCAGCAGTTCTCAGCTGGGATGCCACGAGAACATGTCAAGTGTGCTGTGATGCTGGAACTGCCACCTTCACTGAAGTATGAAACTACCCAGCACAACTCAGTTTTCAAGGGTTGCAGACCCTAACTGAGAAGTGGCTGCAGCAGAAAGGATGCCTTTCTGCATTACATTAAACAGGCAAGCGTGCCATTTCTGCTGCTGCTTTTCCTGGTTCGGCTCTGACGTACTTCCTGAAAACAGAGGCACACAGAGCAGTTTGGCCTGGTGACAGTGGCATTTATCTCCAGGCTGTTACTGTCACCACAGGGTGAAACTGTCCCAAATAAACATGGAACGGGAACAGGAAGGACAACATAAGAGAACAACAGCAGAAAATGAAGGGGGGCAAAAAAAAAAGAAGAGAAAAAAAAATCATGGAACCAACAGAGTAAATATGAAATGAAAAAGGGGGATGCTAGGTCTAAATGAAGTTACTTTAAAAAAAAAGTAAAGATGGAAAGAGGATGTGAGCAAACAAATACTAAGAAGTAATAAGAGGAAGAGATGGAAGGAAAAAAGGGGAGACAGGAGCAAATCTCTTTTAGGACAAGTCAACTGCTTTATGTTGTAGTACTGTATGAACAGGTTTACATTTTTTAATGTATCCATCTATCGATAGATACACAAATATATCTATATATCTCTATACAACTACAGTTGTATGTCATTTTCTAGAAATAAAACTTCACCGTGTGTGCGTGTGATTTTATATATATCTATATTCAGACAGACAGAGTGTAAAGCTTTGGTAGCTGATTCGATCCGGAGGAGATTCGGCTCAATTCGGCAGCCGAATCTCCAAATCTGCACCAAAATTGCACTCATTAATCTCTCCAAATTGAATCGGAGGCCTCTGAATAGATTCCGAGAGATTCGGCCATAGACTGTACAGACAGGCACTAGGCAGTGTGGGCGGGAGCAGCCAGATGAGCCCTGGCTTGAGCCGGCAGCCCTGGAAGAAGCCACGGCTTGTCCAGCTGCTTGTCTGGCTGTCCCCCCACTGGGGTGAGGCAGGCAGTGTTGGCAGCCCTGGGAGAAGCTCCAGGGGCTGGGGGGGAATGATTGGGGGCTGGGGGAATGAACAGGGGCTTCCCCCCAGCTGCTGGTTCAATCCCCTAGCTCCCAATCATTCCCCCAGCTACCGAAGCTTCTCCCAGGGCTGCTGGCTCAAGCTTCTCATCTGGCTGCTCCCCCTCCGCTGGGGAGAGGCAGGCAGTGCTGGCAGCCCCAGAAGAAGCTGCGAGGGCTCGGAGGAATGATTGGGGAGCTGGGGGAATGAACAGGGGCTCCCCTCAGCTCCTGGTTCGACCCCCCAGCTCCTGATTCGATCCCCAACAGCCCCGTGGCTTCTCCCAGGGCTACCAGCTCAAGTAGGGGGAGCCGTGGCTTCTCCCAGGGCTGCCAGCTCAAGCCAGGGCTCATCCTGCTGCTCCCCTAGCTGCTCCCGTTGGCACTGCCTGCCTGTATAGTGTATGGCCAAACAAGATTCGGTGCCAAATATCTTCGGATTTGGCCGAATTGAATCGGCACAGTGATTCGAATCTGAACCTGAAGAGCGAACACCTTACACTTCGCACAGGCCTAATATTTATATATATAGAGCTATATCTATCTATGTAAAATCTCTCACACACAAACACGCAGAAGCTTATTTCTAGAAGATGACATACAACTACAGGTTACCCAGGGAGGAGGCATACATGTAAAATACTACCTGGGGGGCTCATTCACAGATTGCTGGGATGTTGCTTTCTGCTGTTTTATGCTATACTTTGCCTTTATGTGCAACAAAGACTAGCTTCAACATTTTGTCATTTCTAAAAATCTACATTAATAATTGCTAGAAATCTGTATTTTAACCAAATAAAAGTAACTCAGAGCTTGGAATAAAACCACATTTGGATATATTAATTATTCCTACCCAAGCTTGCTTCCAAATCACTTTTTCTATTTATGTTGTATAAACCAGCAAGTAGAGCCAGAATAACTGAATATGAATAATTAAACTGAACAGGATTAAACTCTGCACTCATTTCTTACAGAGTTTCTAAATCAAAGGTAATATATACCATATGGTTCTGCTTATAAGTTAGCTGCACATTTTCAGGTTCAAGTTAGGGAAAAACATTTTTCCCAGGAATACAAATTGGTACTACAAATAAAGACTCTGACCTGCTACTGCCACTACAAAATGAATTAAGGAAAGAACCCAAAGATGTTTGTTTGTTTTGTTTTAAAGGACTGAAAGAATTCTAACTTCAGGGTTTTTTTATTGCAAGTAGAACAGTCAAGGGTGTAGAGGTCCTGTTACAGGAAGACCTCAGGTATAAATCAATTTTTTTTTGTTCTTTTAGAAGGGAAAAAAGTAGACTTGTAAACAGAATAATACAGTATATTTTCAGACATCTCCAAGGATTTTTTTTAAGTATTTGTTACCTGTCTGCTGAATGTGTTCTGCACATGCATCCAATAATCCTCAACTGGATCATAGCAGTATATTGCCTTGGTAAGCCCCCCCGCAACATAGATCAAATTGTTTAGAGATACAGCTGTTATACATCTCTTTGCAATTGGGATAGTTGCACGGAGCAACCAAGAATTGGTATCAGGATCATAGGACTGAACCTGAAAGCAAGTAAAACACATTTTAAGTTTAACTTAATTACAAAGAAATCACCTATTCCTTGAAATACATTATGATTAAAGGAAATTAAAAGTATCAACAATATCTAGCGGGATGTCCCACAAAGTGAAGAACATGCATGACAAAAAATGCAAGTTGCTCTGCATCTGCAAAATTAAAACATTAAAACAAACAGAACCATTAAACAGTAATAGATTATACCCTGGAAAGTTATTTACCCACGAATATTGTTTGATCAAGAATTCTCATAACTATTAGTGCATGAAGTCAAAGATGCTACAGCTATGACAGACCATGTGAACAGTGCACCCATATTTTATTAAGCAATTTTTCCTATTCTGAGTTATATAGTCAATATTCACAGAATAGAATGAGTCAGAAGATTTATAACCCAGCAGGACAAAAAACACTTACATTTTTAATCAGTGTTATTAACATTTACTTCCTCTTTTCTTGTATATGGTTAACTGACCTTGTCAGAGCAGGTATTGTCATCAGGACCACCACCAATCACAAATAACTTGCCCACGCAGCTGGCCACTGCTGGAGAACTCACAGCTTCCTTCAGTGGAGCCACCTCTGTCCATCGATTAGAAAATGAATCATAACATTCTACACTGCTGAGTCGGCTTTGCCCATCATAGCCTCCAACTACATATACCTGCATAAGATAGTGAGAAACTACTGTCATTTTGTACCAATTTCCAGTTTTTCCTTAAGAAGGAAATTTAAACTCATACAAAGTGTCAGAAACTTAAGATTTTCATCTGTTGCACAAGTGAAAGCCTATTATTCTCAGAAAATTTCATCACAGGAGAAAAGAAATACCGTCTATAAAATACTGATGTTAACAATCCAGGGGGAACATCTATGTATTGATATGTGCCGGATTAAGGAGTCAAAACGAACATCCAGCATACTACAAATCCAGTTCGTTAATGTTCTGCAGTTCTCTTCACTTGCTACTAACGAATTATATTCAGAAATAAAAAGAAACTCCTTCCAAATTAACCTTTTTCTCAACTCCTTCCCTTCCGAAGGGACGTTCTTTCCTCTGGGTCACATTCTTTACTTGACTGCCCATCACATTAGTTACCTTTTACGAACCAGACGTACAGATTTGCCATCTTCCACATATCAACATATCTACCTTCTTTCCTCAATTTGTTTTCCCTAACTTAATCTCTAGTTGAAGCAGCTGCTGTCCTCTATAAAGCCACATATTCAAATCACATTTTATATATGAGAGCTGAGGACTGCAGATCCTAGTCATTGAATATATGTAGGATAATAAAGAAAGCCTTCAGAAATATAGCAAGAACAACAGTTTCTTTAAATTGCTTTATATTTTGATTGAGATCTTCAATATACAGAATATTAAATAAAAAAGCCCTGGGGTGCTACTGACAAGGTTACTACCAATTTGGCTAAGCGACTGCAAAAGTTAAGAACTTGAGCATAAAGTAGGTATCGGGCACCTCTTAATATACAGATTTCTTTTTGAAAACATACACCTATATTTAAGCCATTCAAATGACCTATGATTTGTTTGTATCCGTGGACTGCGCTTTTTTTTAGATCTTAACGCTCAGGGAGGAAAAAAAAAAGTCTCTCTTACTTTACCAAGAAGGACAGCCATTTTGTGTCTCCATCTGCCTTTATTTAGGGAGGCAACTCTGATCCAAATGTTAAGCTGAGAGTTATAAATCCAGACATCCCGGCTGTTTATTCTTCCACCTTTTTAAACAACAAAGCAAAGAATACAAAACACAAATCAATGCATCTTTGCTTAAGGTAGTTATTAAAGAACTGCTAAACTCTGACATGCTCCACTACAGCAGACCATGGAAAAATATTATAGCCTATACAACTAATAAAGGTTTATGTGTACAAATTTAAGGCTTTCAAAAGTCCATCGAATTGCCTAAAACTTCTAAAATGTTCCTAATCAATGTAAAGATAACAGTAAATACAGTTAAGTGAAACTGAATGATGAGGAGTGCTGTTTTATCCTGCAAAACTTTCAGAATAAGTATGCTGAACAAATAAATATTAAATATATGCAGCTTTTTTGTAGCAAAATATTTTTTGAGGTTGGGTGATGTTTTATTGGCTTTCTTCTCTCATGCTCTTCAGTTTTTTTCTCATACCCTTTGAGCTCTAATTGCATGACTGAACCACTGATACACCAATTTTAAAGATTTGCGTACTATGAAGCATGTACCTCTAGCTGCCTGTTTCCCTCTTTGAGCATGCATCTATCCTCTCAGTTTCACTGACTGTTCAAATGAAAAAATATGACACACTTGGAAGACAGTCACTTTGAGCAAATAAAGATAATGGGTAGATAGAGATCATTTAGTTAAGTATATCACCACAGATTCACATGACAGGCACAGATCCAAATTACTATCTATTCTAAGGGCCTGAACTAGAGAGGTCAATGGAAGACACAGGTGCTCAGCATGTCCAGCTCCAACTGACAATGCAGAGTCTCCATTTTATACTCTTGGCACTGAAACAGGTTTTATCAGTTTTCACATTGGAATATGCAATATCATTTAAAAGCCAAATTCTTAATACGTGCAGAAGGGGATGTACTAGGTTGTGGAGTAGTACTTTAGTTCATAAAGTAATTTAGCTATGTTAAATAAGACCTCTGCATCTCCTTAAACTCAGATAAAGCCTTGGCCACAGCTATAAATGATTACTCACTGAAAACAAAATAGGGAGGAAAAGATACCGGTCACTGTAAAAATATAGCCAAGGAGTCATGGTCAACATTTCTGGAGAAATAGATTAGGTAATCAATATAAAGGTTAGGGATATAGATCATGAAGTCTGCATTTCAGCAGTTTCTTAAAGTTCAAAGAGCAAAAGAACTATAAAATGTTGTGCCAAGACTATGGAGTATTCTTGAAAAGAAAAAGGAAGAAGAAAGAGTTTTCAAAGTCCCTGGCACTATATTTACCTGAAACTAGGATATCATTCCGCAGAGCACATACTGCATATTCAGACTTTGTAAATTCTGGGAGTTTAGCCAGCGATTTCCACTCTCCTGTCACAGGATCATAGCATTCAGTATATGGCAGATTAAAACCCCCAACTCGTTCGCAGCCTCCAACTACAACTATTACTTCAGAATAACCAGTTGATCTAGGAGTGAAAACAGAAAACCAATGCAGAAGTTTATTTTAAGTTATATAGGAGGCAATATTTTTGTGAAAAAACAAAGTTGGGAAAGGGACAGGGTTAAAAAATAAAAATTATTATTTAGTAGGTGCATCTGCACATTATATTAATGCACTTGAATAAACTCTGGCACAGTTCACACCAGAATCAGCTGCTTCTGGGTGCAGTGTCTTCACGTCACCCAGGACCATGTCAATTCAAGCTGGGGTGCTACAGCATGCTACGAGGGTGCTATAGCGCACGGCTAGCCAACAGGCAACCCCTGCACTGTAGCACTCTTCTGCCCCATCCACCCCAATCACAGTCTACATGTGCATTTGAGTGCATGCAAGTACTCCACCTTAAGATAATACTAGAGGTGTTAGAAGAACAGGATTCCTTCTAGCCTTAAGTTATCTGGTTTCTTAGTGTCCCCTCCCCAGGCAAATCCAAGCACATTCATGGAAGATATGTACAAACAAGGAAGCTTGGATACTGATTTTTTTTTTTCAAATGAGAATCAAGACCTTCATTCTAATGTTAATCTTGTAGTCCATGACTGCCAATCAACAGTTAAAAAGAAGACAGAAGTGAGCCAAATAAAAAATGCTCCTTGTGAGAGTAAAGTGGTAGCCCATGGAATGAAATACCATGAGAAACAGATACAGAAGGACTAGAAGATGCAAAGCAAAGTGGTCCACAAAGTGGAAAAGATGGAGAACCACATTTAGTGTATCATTAGATTCAATGCATTCAAAGAACAATTTACAAATATCTGTTTATTACAGGAAATTATGCAGCTCTTGTCAACAACTAAAGGAAGAGTATATAACACAGTACAGGCCAACAAATACTTGGACGGACACAATTACTTCCATTAGTTCAAAATGATCCCATTAAAAAACAGTTTCTGAAAAAAAGATATTCTGAAAGCTGTTTTAAAAAAGGAAACAAAAGAAAAAAAGCCTGATTTTGTCTGTCAAAGAACCAACCATACCCGAGTGCTGTATAAATAATGCTAGCCAGGTATACAGTAGTAAAATAAAATAAAAAAGTATTTTTAGAAGGGAGCTGAGAAGTTAAAATGTTTAAGACAGTCTGAAGATACTCCAGGTACATAGTATGAAAGGCAAGTTTTGGTTTGTATACAGACATCCATTACTCAATCTTGGATAAGAACTCACTACAACAACATAACCACTAGATGACACTATAAAGCTTAATGCAGCTGTTCAGCTTCAAGATGCCAGTGCAACTGAATCTTACTAACTTTTAAGAGACAGCTTGAGTAACTCCTATGTCCCCATAATGCTCCACAGAGTAGGAAATTGATATTGAACTTCATGATCCATTTTAAATTCCTCCAACATCCTTAAAGTTCTAAGAAACTATTGGAAAATCAACTTTTCAACAAGAATCAGCAGGTTTTCACATTCTGCGTCATGAGAGCTTGCAGTTTGAGACCCTGGCACTGAAAGAATCTATGAAGAATTTCTTCTGTTACAAAGACGAGAGCAGAATGAAAGGCTGGAGGACTAGCAATGGGACAACAGCTTGCCAAACATTTCTCTCTCCAAGAAGCCTTTTAGAAGTTGTTAAAAAAGAAAGGCTCTTTGGGCAGTGATTAGATAGCACCCAAGTGTTACAAAGAACAAAGCAACATAAATCCAAAGTCAAAACGACTGTCTATGCAAGAAGTGTACCAGTTAACTTAAATCCATGTGTCTAAAAAAGTTTAAAAAAACATTAACTAACATGGTTTAAAACAGGGCTTTTCAACCTCTAAGGAGTGTACCCTTTCTAGTGAGTACCCCTCTGGACTGTACCCCTTTCCAGACAGGAGAGGGGGATTGCGCTGACAGCCAGTCGGATGGGAAGCTGGCAGCAGCAGAGTGGTGAATGGCACCAGCGGGGGCGGGGCAGTGGCAAACGATGTAAGTGAGGAGCTGGGAGCTTGCAAGTGGCAGCCACCACTGCCATTCACCATTCTGCACCGCTGCTGCATGCTGCTTCCTTGTGCCACCGCGCATATCCCCTGGGGCCATCCCAAGTACCCCTAGGGGTACCTGCCTCAGTTGACAACCCCTGGTTTAAACCAATTAACTTGCGTTAATACAAGGCTACTACCAGAAAGATATTTCACAAAAATCGACCAAAACATACCATGGCCATTATCTTCTCTAAGTAGAGATGCACCGATAAAGATTTTTTGGGTCAATACCAATGGCCAATTATTAATGAGCCATAGCGACCGATACCAATCCAATTGCTGATATGCATACCAGCAGCTTAGAAATCAGCTGGGGGTAGCACTGTGCTTTTCTAATGGGGGGGGGGAAAGGGGTTCAACCAGGGCTGTGCTCAGGGTAGCAGCACTGGGGTGGGGTGGGGTGGGGAGGAGCTATGAGGGGGTGGTGCTACAGACACCCCAGAATTTACCATAGCCCACCTGGAGCCCTACCTCACAGTGTTGCCACTGCTCGCTCCGAACACAGCCCTGGCCCAACTCCCCCTGCAAAGGGGCCTGGCGTCACCCTTGGCCTCAGCCTGCAGCAGCAGCCCACCCTCACCCTGCGCACAGATCCAGGGGGCACATATGTTCCCCTGGGGATGCACGTAGCAGCAGGATCTGCCCCTCCCTTCCTGCACCCCCTGGATAAGTTGCTCACATCTCCGTCCGACACTCCACCCTGGCTGTGAAGCACCTGCCCCAGCCCCACCTCCACTCCCTCACTGCATGGGACTCAATTTGCACCCCCATGTCTATTCCCTGTTTCCACCTCTTCCCCCTCTCTCAAAAGACTTACCAGCCGGCCGCTGCTCTCCAAGCTGCCAGGCTGGCCGCATGCATGCTGTGGCTGTGCACATGCACATGGCATTTAATCCGTGATGTTATCAGCCACAGCAGCTAAAAAAAGCCGATTGCTGATAATGTCAATTTTCCTTTTATTAGTGCCGATATGATATGGACCGATGCATCGGTGCACCTCTACCTGTAAGCCCTACCAATAACATGTTTCATATTTCCTAGTACAAATTCCAGTAGACATTCCTCTTTGTATTATGGAATAGTAAGTTAAAATGTTTCTCGGTTTTACAAATATTTTACAATACAGAAGACTAAAATATTTTAATGGCGCTATTTAATAATTTACTTTGTTTACTTACAATTTAATCTCTAGCTCTGTTTTATCATTCTATAATGATTATTAATAAACTGATTACATTTTTGATGCAACACACAGGATTTTCTAAGGATTCACTGCTGGCCTAAATACACTATCTGAAAAATTCTGTTTAACATTCTTTATACCAGATATTATACTTATGTCACTTTACAATAATTATAAGAAAAAAAAATGGGTTAGTGGGCGGAGTGTAATGCACAAGAGTTAGTCACTGCAGGCATATGGCTTTACCAAACAAGCCGAAGGTACTTAAGAGCTCATTTAGTAAACTACTACACATCTGAATAACAGAACTGACATGAGTAGTCCCATTTAATTTCAAATAGAAAGACTCATAAGTAAAGTTGTGTGTGTGAATAACCTTCCTTAATAGACCTGATTATATAAGTGAAGTTAGAATGGTGCGTGTGTGTGTGTGTGTGTGTGTGGGGG